GTGTCAACTCTTGGCCTGGAGGTTTGATGTAGCTTTGATGCCACCCACTTGTCCGTCCACCCCCACACACAGTGCTCAAGCTTATCTCTGACATCTTCATTTGTGTGTGCCTCTGTTTGGCTCCAGGTCTTTAATCTTTTTTTTTTCTTTTTACTGACAGTCCCAGTTTCTCTATCCCACCACTTTTTTTGCATGTTGTTCACTTTTAGCTCAACAAGTCATCTTTCAGTTTGTCTCTCGCTCTGGACTGACAAGCGCAAACACGCATCAACCAGAAACACTCTTTTTGAAATGCAATTAACAATGTGTGCATTTCATTGTTGCAGGTTAGGCAACAATGAGGCTGAGGGCAGGGTTTATTTGGGTGAGGCTAACGACATCAGAGGTTTTAGGGACACACTAACTAGTCAAGATGAACTGATTGTCCTACAGGCCATATTCTCATGATAGTGGGCCCCCTGTTGCAGGGTGTGTGTTCAACTGCAGACCTGTGCACAGTGTGTTTTTCCTCTCTCTCTCTTATAATTCCCTTTCTCTCCACCAACCCTCTTGCTATCACTGCATTTGCACTAGCCCATTATCACCATAGCAACTGTACAGTTGTTCACTTTGTTCCCACTAGCACCTCTTTCACACACATACACACACACAACATCACAGTAACATTGTGGTTGTTTGATTTAATTGCAATTTTAGATGTTTTTTCCTGAATCTCCGAATTTGACACGTCATTTTTCGCAGTAATGTCTGGAGATCATTTAACAGTCAACCGCTGCTTATTTGCAGAGTATATAAAGAATTCCACAGACTGTTTTGTCGCACAAGAAATACAAAAATAACTCTTAAATTGATAATTGTTTCTGTTTGTCTAATATCATCAATAAGAGACTCACAGTTGTGTCTACTCTGAGGTTTTAGAAAGATTTATGTATGTTAAGAGTTGCTAACTTTCCTTTAAATCTTTCCATAAAGTCAACACTGAAACAATACACAGAAGGGATGTAAAAGATGTAGCTGCTACAGTTTTTATTTGTATATTCAACAGTAGAGAGAAGTGTCAGCGAATAATGCCTGCTCAATATGGTTAAAATGCTCACACATTTGTCTTTCTAAAAACCTGCAAACACAAGGAAAAACTGTGAGCACAGCAGCATTCATATCCACTTTCTTTACAGATGGGATGATTTTACGTTTATTTTTTTAGCACTACTGGCTCTTATCTGGAGTACGTATTACTGAACAAAACAGGCACCCACAATTATTTGCCACAACTTGCAGTAATGCTCAGAGACACATAGCAAAATTATATCTAATGGCAGAGGGTGTTGTTATGATATGTTACTGGGTTTTACTTATGAACCTTGACTTAATGTTCAAATGGTCAAAATCATATCAACTGAAATTGGAAACATTACAATCATCTGTCTTATTTTCTACTAAAAGATATTCACTTTTCAACCATTAGCTACAAAAGCAACTACTCAAAGAAAGGCTTGAAAGCAAATTGCTGCTATCACATTTGTGCCCCAGAGTATATGTATAAGAAAAATTAAAAAAAAGTCAGATTTGAAGGGTTGTTGCTTCACAAAGACATGAATCAAATGATCTCTTTTAAAGGTAATTATTTTTACTAATTAGATATAGACAGATAATGATATATTGCTACTTCCAGTGATGACATATCTGTCAGTTTCTGACTGTAATTAACATGACTGATGTTTCACTCGTTGTCATAGACTTCTTCCCTTTCTTCTGCATGAGGTGGCCTTTGTTACGCTCCACAGACTTATCATCTCGGCTCACTGAAACTGTCTTCCCCTCTGGTTTTGAATAAGCTTGAGCGTGTCTTTGAGTGTCAGAAGTTTGTCTATTTTTTTCCAACACAGTATGATGCTCATAGAGTGAATGGCAGGAATGATTAGATTTCAAACTGTTTTTATCTTTCTCATGTTCATATTAAAACATTTTTATGTGAGCATGTCTTTAAAAATGTATTGCTTTTTGCCTCAGGTCTCTGAGTCTGTTGCATGTTTCGTTGTGCTCTGATGTGTTGTGAGCTATAGATTGTATTTAACAAGGATGTAAAGAAATCTTGATTGTGGGTAAACGACTCATTAATCAAAGCATTTGTAAAGTTATTGTGCATGGATATTTGCATTTTTATGTAAGTGAACTGCAAAGGACAAAAACAAATGTGGGACTTCTAGTCTGCTCTCAGCTCCAGAGCTTTTAACCATGGATGGATGACTGAATTAATTTCTTCCATTCAAATGGCCTGCAAGCCATAGCCGCCGTGTGAACATTTGTTGAAGAATCAAAATATTCCTTTTAGCGAAAAAACATTAATAACTGCAGCAGAGAACCAACTATGAATAAAAAGACACAATGCTGGTACATTGGAACATTTTTTTACCGACTGACCGTTGTTTCTATGGAACTTACTTGAACAATAAAAACTCCTTCAATTATAATAAATATACATAAAGATTCATCAACCAAAGACACTGAGGTTGACTGGTCCTGTGTACTATGATATGTCATGTGGATGCAAACAAAATTTGATAAATGGAACTGGATAAGAGAGTGACATCCTAATCAGATGTGATCTGGAAATAATTATTCATTGCTAAATGCAAGTTCAGCAGCTTGGAGAAAAGTGGTTCTCAGTCACTGTGTTCAATAATTTACAATGCCACATGGGCCCTCTCAGTCCTCTGCAAAGTAATAAAAACAGTGGAGTCTTCTTTAAAGAATTTTAAGCATCAGGCTGCCAAAGGCTTCAACAGAAACGAGTTCATGGTTTGACCTAAAATATCCTGTGTTGTGGGATTTCATGAAAAATGTCACGATTCAAATATGTTTGGTTAAAGGTTCCAAATCTGATATTACAGGATCCTAAAAAAGTTTAATGCTTTAGTTTTCACAAATATACCTCTTTTCTATCATTGATTCATTGATGCAGCATCCTCTGTATGAAACTCTGTTTGCTGATTGCTAAAAATGGAAGAGAAATGATTAGCTACTCATTTGTTTGATCTCCACAAAGCTGGAGAATAGGCATTATTTGAAAGTGTTTCATAGAAATGTAAAGCTGTGAAGAACTAGAGTATTCTTTTTAAATAACATGAAGTTGTAAAGCCGTAGTTCTTTACTGTTTAAAAAGCTCAGTCGTTCTCTTATTAAGTTTTGCTGTTTGATGAAATGATTAGAGACAGCAGATTGGCCCGTTGACTGTTGATCAGAGAGTTCTTTTCCTATCAATTAAACTGAACAAAATGTGCATCTGCCCACTTTCCTAAATGTATACCTAACCCAGGGCTCTAAGATACCATGAAGTGTGAAGGTACTGCGCGCAGGCGTGCATGCTCTCATACATGCTCAGTGCCCAGGGGAGCTGAACAGATTAGAGTTTCACATCTTGCATTTTTCTGCAACACTGAATCACAGGCTTAAGATTACTTAGTTTGGTTAATTTCACTCATGGTTCCCTAGAGGAGGAGCTGAACAATAACATCAAGTTAAGTAGAGAACAAAAAATACAACAAAGAAGCACTGAGAGATACTGTGTCTTCTGTTTGAGTTTATGTTGCCTGCAGTGCACTTAACAAGTCTGCTTGGGATAAATTCTGTGTTCCCAGAAAAAAGAAAAAAAAGTATGAAAAAACAAATAACTAGAAGCAGAACATGCTAATTAGAGACCCCATGCCCCCGACTCATTCATCAGTCAGTCACACCATGGCTCCTCGAAAACTCCCCCCTATTTCATACACAGACTCCTTATATTTGTTCCACACTCTAAAATCGTGTTGTTTGCTTAATTTGATGTGTTTGGGGCATTTTTCAGTGATGTTGCCCATCTTCCTCAGTCAGTGGCCTGTATAATTACGCAAGCAGCCATTCTGTCACAGTTCATCTTGATGGAGGCAGCACTGATGGGGGCTTTATCCACCCTCATTTGCAGGGCTTTAATTACAGCCATGTTTGTTTTGTGGTGATTGCTAGCCTCAGTTATCAAAGAATGAATGGAAGATGTATAAATCAAATTATGTCACATAAAACTTTGCCACACTAATTAACTGAACTCACTGCGGTTTTTCCCAATTTCATGTGCATGTTTGTTGCTTTTATTTATTATGGAATCCAGTTAGTAAAGTGAACATTAATGGTGAGATTTTCTAAACTTCTTAAATCATTGTTGATTTCTGGCCATCACCAACACACTCAAATTTGTTTTTGGGAAACACTGAATGCATGAATTAAAAAAGAGAGGAATACGCTTCAGCACACACTAACAGTATGGTGGTGCATTATGCACTAAGCATTGAAAGGTGCAGCACTTTGCACGTTCGTGCAATGAAAGGCACCATGCTGAAAGGTATATACAGGTTTTAGAGCAACATGTGCTTCCATTCAAGTGAAGACAATTTCAGCAAGACAATACAGTACCACATACTGCATGTATTCCATCAGCATATCTTTGTAGGCGAGGGGTCTGGGTACTTTGTCCTTCCACCAAAAAAAAAACATTTTGTACAATGTGAAATGTAAAATATAGCATGAGTAGATTCAGGGCTGTTTAGCAGATAGTATTATATATCAGACAAGAATGGACAACATTCTTCTTCACTTAAAAGTTCAGGAATTTATCTTCTTTAGTCCCCGCTTGTTTACAGACTTGTTAACAATATACCTCTGATGTAAAAGAAAAAGGGGATGCTGTGAAAAAACTAATAATATTAATTCAAACGTTAACATTTCTAACAAAATATTTGGATGCATTTTATATTCTATATGCAAGAATTACAAATAGTTTGTCTTTTTTATTACACTATCTAACCTCTTTTTTGGATTTTTTGTTGGAAATTTAGATAAGCTTTCTATCCCTAGGGATAGGAAGCTCTATCATCTGCTTGTACTTTAGAAGTGAAGCCTGAAATTGTGCTTTTGACCTCATGTCTCTTTCATGGCATTGCATGTTTTATCTCATTATGATTTTGTTTAAAGGACCCCAGAAGCAAGCACAAATTCAAGATACACACATATGGCAGCCCTACCTTCTGTGACCACTGTGGATCACTTCTCTATGGGCTCATCCACCAAGGAATGAAATGTGATAGTGAGTATTGCGCCGGCTGTGTGAGTGTGTGTGGGTGCACCTGTGTCCAATGTGCTGGGCTGGTTTCGTCAAGCCACTTCTAATGAGAACAGATGGGAATAGCCCGGTACTGTACTACACTCACACATCTGCAGAACAGGCAGAATTCACTGGCCTGCCCCTCTGAGTCTTCTCCGTGCTCCCATTATTTCCACCCACACTCCTCTTTCAACTCTTTCCCCCTTTTTTGGACGTGTGACCCATTCTTTCAGTTTCTGCTCCTCATTTAAAGCCCTCCCACTTGTTCTCTATCTCATTTTTGCCATCCTCCTTACACCTTACACTGCCCTGTGTCTCTCCTCTTTTATGGTTTTCAAACTGCCCCTTCTCCCCTTCTGTTTCCAAGTCATTTCCATCCATCACCGTCTCTTCTCTTTGCTTCTCCTGCTTTTTACATCCATCTGTGGGTCTTCAGTGGGGGTCTCATCACAGATGGTAAGGTGTGCACACCAGAATAAATTGATGTGGGGACACCATCATGATTGCAAATGGTTTCCTCTCTCATCATTCCTTGTCCCCTCCCTGCATGTCAGCCTGACAAACCTGCCAAGAGGAGGACAGAAGAGAATTGGAGAGGTGACTGGATAGATTGAGGTAGACAGAGCATAGAGCAGGGGACAAGGGGGATTAGGTTAGAGAATAGAATCTTTCTAATAACAGAGACATTTTCTTTTTAATACCACTTTTCACATCTGTTTTCTCTTGATGAAAGCGATCATCATGTTACTGTCCCATTTAACTGCCCATGTTTTTTCTCCTGTCCAAACATGCCACTCCAGTGTTAGTTCACTGGGTGGTGATGTCATCCACTGACATCGCATTTCTTTGTTAAATGTGGCAATTATACGTTATAGTTGAGTAGCTGCACAACAGAAGCTCTTTTGATTTGCCAAAGCAAAAGAGAGAAGGGAAAGGCAACGGGGGAATAAGGAATCGAACAAAAAGATTAATTGATTAAAGTATTTAAAATAAATTATAGATTTTTTTTTTTCAAATCTTTAATATAATCTATTCATATTTATTTTTCCTAACTAATTTCCTTGATTTATTCTTGACCGTTGGTCTTCTCTTATTCCATGTAAGTATCTATGTCTCAGATGAATGTCTTCCATCAGTAGCCCAAGGAGGAAGAAAACATTGAGCTGGGTCAAAAAAATAAGCATAAGATGTAGTAGTCTCATCTTCAGGGACTCCAACTTACTGCAGGCGGGACTGGAAGCATCTGCCTCTAACACTGTCGTGACACACAAAACAGGGTACCTTAAGAATTCTTGTGGAATTTGCAGTCCGTGCCTAAGCAAGTTTTGGTTGTACATAAAATAGCATATTTTACATGTTATATGGTTATTATAGTCTACAAACTGTTTCAGATCCATGATTATGAATGAAGATTACAATGTAAAGAGTTAAAATTATTTTTGACAAAGGAATCTCTTAAGAATTGTTTTTTAATTTATATAGTTTGTATATATGTATACAGCTAATTTATATGGTCATTTATATACATGTGTTCTGATTCTTTGATAGGGTTAACTCAGTAGAAGTCCCTATATAATTTTCTTGGTATTTCTTTTATCATACATCAAAGCCCTGTAACTATTTCTGTACTTTCTCCTCAGAGGCACAGAACCTCACACCTCCTGAACCTTATTAAACCCAGACAAAATATGAAAAATAACCACACAGTCATTTTCCTCCACGTATTCATGACTCAACTTCAATTTTAAAAACAGCATTTGTTTAAAGATGAAACCCTCCACAACTCCTTCAGCACTTAACATGGGTAAAATGTACGTCTTCGTCTCGTCTCATTCTAGCCTGCGACATGAATGTGCACAATCAGTGCGTGGTCAATGTGCCAAGCCTCTGTGGAACTGACCACACGGAGCGCCGGGGTCGCCTCTTCCTTAAGATCGAAGTCAGTGGAGACCGGCTACACGTCACAGGTTGGTTTTAATCTTTACCTGTGAACTTGCAAAGAGATGCTTTGTCTCACTTATGGAAGTGGCTCCCAAATGTAAAGGTGAGAATACTGGAAGAAATCTCTGGTTTATTGATGTTTATAACCTAGGCTGTTGTAACTGCCTTTGACTTGTAGTAATTGACCATTAAAAAAAGAGCTTTGCTCTCTTGGTATGGAACAATTGCTAAAGAAAGACATTTTTAATTTTGTTCACACAGTCAAGGAAAATGAATGGCTGAAATGATACATTTACACTCACTACTATCACATCAAAGATTACAGTTTTCATCTGCAGGGACAGACATATAAATATATATGTATTTTTTCTTTTTTAAATATTTAATATCTGAAACTATATAAAACCAAGGTAACTGAAAAAAAAAATTATATACAGCCTTTATAGTCTGTGCGTCAACACCTCTAAATTATCCTGCCAGTCAAGAGCAGCATCTGAAATAGCAAACTCTCCTGTGTTAAAGCCCCTTTGGCATGGAGAAATGACTGCTGTGTCACTTCCACAACCTTGCTGCCTTACTCGGTCACACATTTTACGCATGGCCACATGGTGAGACAGTGTTGGTCTGAGAATTTCATTGCTTAGACTAAGAAATGGCTTCCGACTCAATAAGTTGCAGAGAGGAAAAGAAACCCAGCCAGAAAAGAAGCAGACATATGTTTATGACTTGGAAATAAATTGCTTTAAAGAAATGCTGTAATAGAAGAGAGGTAAACCATTGCTTTTCACCTGATTATGAAATGGTTCGTATTTGCTGTGTTGTTCCTTGCATCAAGCTGTTTTGTCTGTTTTACTTCTGAAATCACTTTGATCATCTACACCACACCGACATCCAAAGCCCCTTTGGTGTCCATGTGTGTTTCTGTCTGTGGATTTCACTACAGTGTGCTGGAGTTGACGAGCAAATGAAACAGACTAATAACGGAGATAATGTCAGCAGCGGTCATGTTGACATGGTTACCTCAGTCAGATTTAGCAAATTAGACACAATATAAGCTGGACGGGTTCCCATTTAGACTGTTGCCATGTTAAAATGATGTGCTCTTTCTTTCTCCCCACAAACGTTGTCTTTGATTTTATGCTTACACACACCTCAACGCCCACCACTGTTCCTGTGTTGCTGCAACACTCCTCATTCAAGGGAGATGCTCCCGTGGGGTCTATGGACTATTGGCATTTGTGATATTTTGTATGATGTATGTCTGCAATTTAACTACTGCAGGTGTAAGTGTGGTCAGGTTTTTCTTCAAGTCTGGCTGTCTTTTTTTGTCTCTTCATTTTTCATTCAAGTGAAGAGAGTGCTTTGGAAAAGCTATGATATGACAGTTTCTTTGACTAGTCCCCATACCCAGCCGACAGGTTTATGAAGGGAACAATGGTCAAAAACAGAAAAGAAACAGGCACAAACAGGTGCCTTCCAAAGGCAGAGTCCAGTAAGAGAGCAGTTGTTAAAAAACTGCAAGCGAGCAAAAATAATAAGGGAAAGAGAGAAAATAACAGGGAACAAACTGAGACCACAGGCTTACCAGAGGGCTAGTCACAGAGAGCATATACAATATGCAAGAGGAAGTACAGGAAGTATATTATATCCTGGCAACTACACAATGATTAAAAAAGGTTGTGGTAAAAATAATCAGAAGTAAACTGATAACGTCACCAAGATTGGATTGTAAAAGTTAAACAAATAATAAAGAAGAAGACAATTACTGTCCTAAAGTTGTGCTATATGAAGGTCTCTGCCACTGTAGCTGAAAGCCATGGTTTTATTCTTGTACACTCAGTGTGATTCCATCCTTCAGCATATGGCTAAAGCCAGGGGACTGGTGTTTCTGAATCACTGGGATGTTGATGTCGGACAGTATACCATTCCTTGTAAGGTATTGTAATACCTTCCAATATCTTAAAAGAAAAGAACCATGATTCTCTTAGCCAGTTGGAAAAGAAAAGTCCAAAGAATGATATATGTTGAAAATGGACAATTTAGAAAACAAATCTGAGTACAGCCAGGAAAACTAATATGAAGTTAAGGGATGTTCGGGGAACGGGAGCTCACTTCAGGAACACAGCAGGAGACAGGAACAAGTGCAACCAAGTCAAAACAAGTAAAACAATCAGAAAAGTAAAAAATAAGGTGAAAACCAAAAGTAAATCAGGTCAAGACACAAGAATAAGCTAAAGATATAAATGTGCATATTTATCATGTGCACAATGGCGCCTAGTGTCACAGAAAGAGGCTCACATCAAAGCTGGAGCCTTTCTTTTTACAGTTTGCATGTTCTTTCCCAGTACAACAAATTTCCCCCACCCTTAAAAACATGCTTGTTAGAGAAATTGGGGATTCTAATCTGATCCTATGAGTGTGAGAATCTGTTTGGCCCCTTTTGCCCAGCGCTAGCTGGCAACGTCTCCAGCTCCCCAATACGATGTGGAGTTGATTTAAGCTCTCATCGAAAATGGATGGATTATTAAACCTACCCAAGTTTCAACTGTAACTTTGCAAAATCTGATGCAATTGATGGAAAACACTTTTTTTTATTTCCCATGTTACTTCCAGCCCTAAGGTAGACAGGGTTTAAAATACAGCTATTTTGAGATGTATTATCAACTTAGAGAGAGAAAGCAGCTAAGTGTATCTTTTATCATATTTATTTTCCTTATATAAACCTCTTTATATTACTAAGTGCATTTTGATGAATTGCAGGTAGGAAACCAGAAGTTTAGGTTCACCTTATGGTTACTTCTCTTTCTTCTCTAATGGCAGCAATCTGAACAGTGAAGTCACAGCTTGTTCACCAGCTCCCCTCTGGCTGCTCCAGACAAGTGGCAGGCTTTTGTGGTTCACCGCGCCAACATGAACTTGATTAAATCTTTCCAGCCAAGAAAGTAGACATATCTCCTTAGGCTTGCTCTCTGTAACCCACCTCCTCTTTTTTCTCTCTGTTCTCTTTGTCTCTGCCTATCCACTCCATCCCTTCCTCCACTATTGACTTTCTCCTCTATCTTGTCCTACCTGTTTCTTCCAGACTCCAGTTAGCTTCATCTCTCATCACTTGTTTTCCCCTGATACCCAGTGAGCCCCTATCTGTTGGCTCATAATCTGTTTTCTACCTCAATAGAACATCTGTCCTTTTTCAGTCAAAGGTTTGTTACATCTTGACTAACATTTGATTCTCCTCCTCTTCGCCACACTGTCTTTTTTTCCCTCTCTGCCTGTTTTGTTGTTGCTATTTCATCCTAAAAAATGTCATTTTTCCACTCTTACTACTCTTCCCGATCCCTGTCCTTTCTTTTAAGAGTGACATTTTAAAACCTCTGAGAAGATGTTTTCTTTTAAAGTTTTAATGATGGGCAAACATATAAATGTCCCTCAATGACCTGCCTACACAGAGAGAGGGAGAGAGAGAGGGAGAGAACGAGAGAGCATCTGAGGAAGGCGGTTAACGCAGCAGTTTACTCAGGGTGAGATTTCCTACTGCTGACACGCTCGCCTAAGGTTTAAAGCACAGCTGAACTAAAATACATTCTGTCCCATACTGACACAACTCGCTGCACCATAAAGCCTGTTTGTGAAATAAAGGCATAAAAACTAAAGTTATTTTAACAATATACAATACATACAGACCTCTCTCTCTCTCTCTATCTCAATCTCTCTCTGTCTCGGCTATCCATCCATCTACCATTTTCTGTCTGAATCGCTTATTCCCAACTGGGGTCACGGGGGGACTGGAGCCTATCCCAGTGGTCAGTGGGCGAGACGCGGAGTACACCCGGGACAGACAGACAGACAGATAGATAGATAGATAGATAGATAGATAGATAGATAGATAGATAGA